AAACTATTGAGACAGGAGGAATCAATGTGAGCTTAGGAACAAGAATAATTCATGTAGCTGAAGTGTGGGAGTGGGGTGGGGGGATGGCAGGAAGTGGAAATTAGTATAAGGACACAGGCCAGAGTAAGTAGGACCTTGATTTTTTTAAAAATCACTATGACTTCAGCATGAAAATATATATTAAATAGGGTAAGTGAAAAGAACTAGTCAACAATGTCAAATGCTGCCAAAAGTCACGAAGATTGAAAAAAAATTCATTGAAATTAGCTTGACTTCCCAAATTCCATGACCAATAAGCAACTAACCCTAACTCTAGGGGGTAAAATTCAGGTGTCAGTCAATAATACACTGGGCCCCAGATTTGAATACAGTCAGAAGCAAGAAAATTTTGTGTGCAAAATATAATTTCTAAGACTCATTATTTAAAATTGTTTAGTATTCATAAGTTTTCTCTTTTAAAGTTTCAGTACTGGGAATTGAACTCTGGGCCTCATGCATGTAAGGTCCTTGCTTAGCATCTGGGTGGCTATCTTAAGTGACAGCCGCCATTTTCCCGTCCAAGGGCCTTTTCAGAAAAGGCTCACCACTCCCTCATACCAACCCCACCCTTCAGCCTCCTGCATTAGGACCCGCAGGCTCTGATCCCTGAGCTTGGCCCATAAAAGCCCCAAAATTCAAGCCTGTCCTGCCTCTCTCTTCTAGGGAAGGATGTGCCTTTATTTGTCAGCTCTGACAAACTCTCAGTGTGTATCTCTGCCTGGTCTCTGTCTTTCATTTATTGCTCGCTCGTCTCCCAAGTTCTTGCTTTTCTTTCAATGCACTCTAGGTAAGTACTCTACCACTGAGCTACATCTCCAATCCTATATTTATAAGTCTTCTGTAGGAATCTTTCCCCCTTACACATCGTGTAATTTTCTTGCTCACAGAAAAGATGAGTTAGTTGATCACCTTTACTCTAGAAAGAGTAAAGGTGACTCACTGATCCCTAAATGAAGTACTATTAGGGGACCAAGTAAGTTTGCAGCACCACCCACCCCACCCCACCCCACCCCACCCCAGCTTTGCTCTACCTAGGAATATAAATGCTAGTTCATATGGTCATTCTATGCCTAAAATTTTGAGAAACTGCCAACTGTTTTCCATTTCCAATTTCTAATGAGAATGAATAAGGGTTCTAATTTCTTCATACTTCATCAGTATATTATTAACTATTTTAGTTGCCCCTATTAGATATGAAATGATATCTCATGTTAGTTTTGATTTACATTTCCCTAATGTATAATGATGTTGAGCAGGCTTTCATTTGCTTACTGAACATTTGAATATCTTTGTAGAAATGTCTATAAATTCTTTCTCCATTTTCAACTTGGGTTATTTGTCTTTTGATTATTGAGTAACAAGAGTTCTTTCCATATTCTTGACATAAGCCACCTATCAGATACATGATTTGCAAATATTTTTCTCATTCTCTGAATTGTCTTTTTACTTTCTTGATACTGTCCCTTGACATACATAAATTTTTAAGTTTTAAAGTCCAATTTACTTTATTTGTTGTTTATGAATTAAGATCATGTGTTGTTACAGTGGGATCTAATCCAATAGGACAGGTGTCCTTGTAATCATAGGAAACTTAGAAACAAAGAACAGACAATGTGAAGATACTTGAAAAAGATGGCCATCTACAGCAGTCTCCATTTTTGCAAGACAAATGCATTCCAAGAACCCCAGTGGATGCCTGGGACCTCAGATAGCACCCAACCTTTAATTATATATATAATTATATAATGATATATTATTACATAATAAAATATTCAATAATTGTAATAATTATATAATAGGTTATATAATTATAATGTTATATATTATATAATTATATACTATATAATTATGATATATGGTTTATACATATATTTAATGTAATATATGATTTATATGTACATACATACGTACTCTGCTTTTCCTATGCATATATAACTTGATAAAGTTTAATTTATAAACTAGGCAGATATTAACAATGACAATAATAAAATAGACCAACTGTAAGGATATACTATAATAAAACTGCCGGTATCAGCATCACTACTCTTGAATTTGGGGACATTATTAAGTTAAATATGGGTTACTGGAACACATACATAGTCAATCTGATAAGATGTCTACTAAGTGACTAATGGGTGGGGTAGCATACACAGTGTGGATACAAAGTACATCCTAGGTAGGATGAAACAATGGTTTGAGGTTTCATCGAGCTACTTAGAACAGTGTACAATTTAAAACTTATAAATTGTTTATTTCTGGAAGTTCCCATTTAATATTTTTTGGATCACAGTTAAATGTAACTAACACCATGAAAAAGGGAAAGTACTGTAGAAGTCATGGAGAAAGGTCTGGAACCTATCCTTCACTCCTGGTCCTCAGAAGGAACTAATACCTTAATCTCAGACTTCTAGTCTCCAGAACCATGAGAACATGAATTTCTGTAATTAAAGCCACTCACTATGTAGGGCTTTGTCAGCAGACTGACCAAACTAAAATAACAAAATAAGAAAGGTATTATTCTGACTCAACTCATAATAATAAGGAGGAGCACTAACAAAAGATAATGGAGGCAAAGATAAATCCCTTTCTGTATTCTCTTTAAAATACTGTCAAAATGCCTGAAAGTGAAATGTTTCCTCTGCAAGAACAATGAGAATAAGGAGAGTAGCAGAACCATCCTCACAGATGTTCCTTTGCTCAAAAGCCTACAAATACTTCCTCATCCAGAGTCAAGGCCAAAGTCCCCACAGTAGCAGTAAGGCCCTTCTTGATTGGGCCTTGGAGCTCAGTTTGGCTTTTCTCCTCCAACTCAGCTCTTTTTTTTTTATTATTGGTTGTTCAAAACATCACAAAGTTCTTGACATATCATATTTCATACATTTGATTCAAGTGGGTTATGAACTCCCATTTTTACCCTGTATACAGATTGCAGAATCACATCGGTTACACATCCACGTTTTTACATATTGCCATACTAGTGACTGTTGTATTCTGCCAACTCAGCTCTTCAGGCTCCCTCCTTTCCTAGAAGCTTTCAAGCTCCTGGGACAATGCTCAAGGGTCATCATCTGGGTGAGGACTTCCCTATCACATTATTTGAATGCAAAATCAGATTCCCCTGCAGCAGTTCTAGCATTCCCTACCACCCCACTTCCCCACCCCCCCCCTCAAACACCTACCTTTTTTCTCCAAGGCACACATCATCACCTGAAATGTGCATTTTATTTATCGCCTAATTGCCTCCCAGCCTAGTTTAGAGATTCAATAAGCGCAGAAATTTCCTTTTGTTTACTACCATAATGTCACCATCTACTAGGTGCTCATAAATGCTCAGAGTGAACATATTTGCATAGCCCTCCTTACTGAGCTAAGATAAAAAACTAATGCCTCTACAGGTAACAGGTAACTTTTTAACAATGGTCCACTTTCTACTTTGAATATAGCCCTTGATCCTCCGCCACTGAGACTTATTTTAAAAAGGGACACGTCTCTTCCTCCCTGTTCCCTAGCCTTGGGGGAAACAGGATTACCTTTCTTCCCCAGTTCTCTGTCCGTGAGCACACACACAAACCATAGGAATTAAGTAATTCAGACTTGTGAATGGTACCAGACAGAAGCTCTAAGAAATGACTATCTCCCAAATTAACACGTGAATTATAGCTCCAGACAGAGAATGTAGCCTTTGATTCACCCTTGATGGGCAGAATCACAGCCTCTAGGACAGGAGTCCCTTGTGTTTCTCTTTTGCTGGCAAAGCAATAAAACTTCTTTTTCCTTTTTCTCAAAACTGTGTCCTGGTTACTGAGGACAAAGACAGCTTTTGATAACACCTTCCTATCCTTTTTTACATAACTACTACCTTCAGTCAGTGACTCAAGGAGAAAGAAAAAGTCCCCAAACCAATGTCCCTTTTGCTTCTCTGTGCTAATTAGAAACCTGGGGAGAAAGCATGTTTTTTTTTTTTTTTTTTTAGACTGCATGATATTTTATTTATTTATTTATTTTTTGCCTTTTTTTTTTTATTAGTTGTTCAAAACATTACAAAGTTCTTGACATATCATATTTCATACATTTTTAAAGTCTCTGGTCCAACTCTTACCTGTTTTTTGTTTGTTTGTTTTCTCACCCTGACAGGAAGATTTTAGTGAACCAGGAAATTTTTGTGAAAAGTCTACTACAGGGAGAAAGCAGTGTTTGCTTCTCCCCAGCAGATCAAGATTTGATTTACACCCCAGATTTTAATATGTCCTCCAACTTCCTATATGTGAGAGGAATATGCTAGCACCAGCAAACTACAAGGGAGCTGGAAGCCATCAGCACATCTTAACTATTCCTCATAATCATTTCTGAGTCTAAACCTTACTTCATTTGAAGAGAAACAAACAGGGAAAAAAAAAACAGAGTATATATAAAATTGACAAAACAAAAGTGAAAGAAACAGGAAAAAAGTGAAAAGAGAAAAAAATAGAGCACACACACACACACATATAAAATCAACAACACAAAACTGAAGAGAAAAAAGCTATTAATCCAAATCTAAAGGAAAAGATTAAGTGAATTATGAAATACCACTCACTAGAGTTATTTAAATGACTATCAAGATTATGTTTCAAGACATAAATATTAATGAATAATAAGTTTAAACCACAATATGAGAAAAAATTATATAAATCATGTTTAGTTTAAAAACAGAACAGAAATACCAAATGCTCAGTTATTTTAACCTTCTAGAATCTACAACTACAGAGAATAAAGTTCCTACTAGGATACAGAAATAAAAACTAAGGTTTTAGTTAGGGTGAAATTATATTTACTTTCTCCAATGATATTATATTGTTATTTTTAACAATTTGAAAAATTGATGAAAGAAAAATATTCATGTTTGCCACATATCTGACAAAAGAAGATGGGACAAACCTAGGACCTTTAAAATGTATAATGGAAAACAAATATGTTCTTACCCTTGTGCCTCTTCAGTTGGGGAAAACTGCTAATTGTAGTTGCCTGGATTATTTCCACTACAATTTGATACCTGATTTTAAAAGAGAGAGAAAGAGAATAGATTGATTAGGAAGAAAATACTATCTTCAGAGATACTTTTATTTATGCTAAACAAGTAAACACAGAAGCTGTGAGTCCTACCCCTGGGCACTGCGCCACTTACTAATCATGACACAAAAGTCATGCACTGGCACCCCACTCTTCCTCTCCCTAAGTGTTACTACCTGTCCCACAGTGAAGGCAGAAACCTTGAGGCTAGGCTCAACTCCTGCCTCTCCTCAGTACTCCTTGGAAATCAAAGTCTGTCAATTCCAATCTCCTAAATTTGCATTGTCCAACAAGATGCCCATGAGCTACATGTGACTATTTAAACCAAGTAAATAAAATGTTTAATTCCTCAGTCACACTAGCCACATTTCAACTGCTCCATAGTCAAATGCATCTTGTAAGATCCTATTAGATGGTACAAATAGAAAGAACATTTTGATTGGTACAAAGACAGTTCTACTGGATGGTCCTTCCTAAATGCTTCTCCAGGTTGTCCTCCCCTCTCCAGTACACAGGTACTGCCTCAGTTTGCTCTCTTGTTATTTCTCACTTAGAAGACCATTCCAGACCAAAAGAGTCAAGAACATCTGCAAGGGGACTCAGATACCTGTATTTTCATGTTAACTGTCTCAGTAATTCTAACGCAGAGTGAGAGTTGAGAACCACTGGACTAGAGCACCAGCTAGATGCACATATGACTTAGAAGGCCTGAGTTAGGAAAAACACACAAAATTTTGCATTTTAAGTGCTGAGTTCAATCTGAGTCATGGCTATTTTGAGCATATTGATTTGGGCTTTATAAACCTAGTTCTTAAGGGCTGGTCAATGGTTACTAGGGTTTCCCTAACCAAACTTTTCTGCCCTGTTTCTCAGATCTTAATTATGTTGACTGTAATCTGCTTGCAATAAAGCTGTTTAACATTAATTAAGCTGTTTAACATTAATTCTTACTTTGGACACAAACTGTGCAGCATTCTAAGATTTAATGCTACATTTGGCTGGCTTTTAGCCACACAATAGAGCATATATTCTTTGGCTTTTCAACTAAAACCTAAAGAAGAAATACAAATTCATCAAAAGCATAGCTATTCATAAACTCCTGACAAATTCACATCTTTTTTATTTCTTCACTTGTATAATAAATATTGATGTCTGATTCTCACAACCTCAAAAAGCAAGTTGTTAGGAATAGTGTTGGTCTGTCCCCTGAAGACTGGCAGACACTGCTGGTTGCCTACCCAACATTCATTTTCCCTTTCTTCCTTACTAACTGAATCACAGTTTTAGTCAGGGAAAGCAATGGTTGCAGCTAAACAAGCCAACTTTCTCCCTATATGAGGGATGACCATCTGACATAGTTCTACCTGAGGAGACAAAGGCAGAAGTTGCAGGGTGCAGACTCCAGGAAAGCATTCTCAAGGTGTAGACTTCCTAGAGAAGCCCTTGCAACTTTTTTTCCTTGCCCTTTCCTCATTGTCCTGTGTGAAACAAGGATGCAGTGGAACAAGGCACAGAGCCACTTTCATCCTTTAGCAACGATAAGGAGTGAAGCCACAGGCTGAAAATGAAGTCAGAGGACAGAAGTTTACGTCTCTGATGACTTCACTGAGCTGTCAAAGCAACCCCAAACTGTCCATCTCAGGACATATTGCTGCATAAAGAAAATAAACCCCTGAATTGCTTAAGTCACTGTATATCATCTTATCTTATGATCAATGCCATCCCAGCTGACAGAGAGCTCTTTAAGGACTCCATACACAGAAAATATCTTTGGGCTGAGTATATGCCCAGGTGCTATTTTCCAAACTGAAGCCTTGCTAGGACATTACTGAGCACTGAAGTTTTCTAATGTGTCACTATCTGCAAGATGTTTACTCAGTTTCCTGAACCAGGCAGTGAGGGAATTGAAAAAAACAGGCCAACAGACACAAAAATAGAAAAAGTGGAACTCGGTGGTTCAGCCTGCCTCTGTTGGAGGAAGACTGTCCAAGAGCAAGCTCAGCACATTCGTTATATAGGCTTAAACATCAAAAGGATTTATTGTGAGAAAGCTTCTTCAAGATGAAAAAAACCTAATTTGTGGGTAAAACAGCCCCTTTAGGGCATATCAGCTTCTGCCCATAACTCTTTACCTCCAGGGAGCTGGCATTTCAACTCAAGGCCATGAACTAATAAATTCTGTGGCTTGCACAGAATCTCCCTTGAGCAGAGCATCACCACCAACTGGGAAGTTTTCAATTGGTGGCTTCCAATTGAGAAATTCCCAAGGGAAGTGTCGCCTCTATCTTTGAGCAATTCAAAGAAATGATTCACTCATGCTCAGGACACTAATGGAACTGAAATTCTTCCCAATTATGGACAAGCACAAAAATGGCTCATGATGTGAATTTTCATGTTAGTTACTACATAGTTAAGGAAGCACATATACAAATCTGGAACTATCAGAGCCCAACATTCTTGAATAAAGTCCTTAATTTAACCTTAGGACTAAAGTTCTACTACTGGAATACACTGACTTTTCATTCAACTCTAGAACACGTCTTTGAACACCTCCTTGTACACTGCCATCTGGATGTCCTGCAAATAGACTTAATGTCCAATGTCCATTCACACAACAATTCCCATTAAAAACAAACAAATAAACCAAAAAACAAATCCACATCATAAACATTTGTTACAGCAATTTCTATAAAGAAAAACATGGAAATAATCTAGGGGTCAACATTTGTTCATCTTTTCCTATGTTCTGAACACAGCAATGAACAACAGCAATATGGTCTGTGCTTTCAGGAAGCTCTGGGGATATACCAGATTGAAGATAAATCCCCCAGCCAATAATATTTATAATTATTAAGTTTACATGGAAATAAATGTTGTGACACACTGATTTTAAAAATACAAAGTGGAATGTACATTTATAATAGCAGATATGTTATGTGGGTACATGAACCAGGGCTACAAGGTAAGATGGAGATGAAATTAAAGGCAGTTATGTTAAACTGACAGAATTATAAGTCATTCTTTAACTTTTTCCAAACAATTTCTCTCTCTCCCTTATTCTCTACCTCCCTCTCTAAACCTATTCAAACTACCTTCTTTCTTGCATAGGTTTCCTTACATTTTCATTTCTAACCACCAACCTTCTCAAAATCTTATTATCCTAATTAGATATTTATCCTAATAGGAACCATCAGTCTCAAAGCCCAATTGACCTGTCCTTTGAACATTTTTAAGTAAGTTCTTTTCTTTTTCTTCCCTTGGCCACTACCCTATTTGGGGGCTCCTCCTCATGTGTGGGTCCTGCAATGGCTGAACAGTTTTAGTTGCTTGCCTGAAGCTATCTTGCTCTCTTTCACATGAAAACAGCTTGAGCAGCCCCATCAAAACACCTTCCCACTTTCCCATGACCATTTAACCTCCCTTGCTCAATATCTCCAGCAAATTCCTCAAAGGAATAACCTATATTCCAGCTTGCCATTTCATTCACTAATTAGCACTGGCTCTTTTATCCAACCCAATTTCCTTTTCTTCTCAATCTAGGTGTGGACTTCAGGTAGGTCAATTTCTAAATTGTCCTCACAAAGCTACAGTCTCCCTAGGCTCTTGCTCATGCTCTGCCTCAGAAGACAATCTCCCTACTTGTTCATCTAACTACATCTTACATATATTACTTCTTCAAGTTTTCCAAGCACCAGTTAAGCACACTTAATATATGTCTTTTCTCAAATCCTAAATTACTTCTGCTCTATAACAATACCTATTTGTTTGCTACTTTATAATGCTGTTTTAAAGACAGACTTCCACCAAGAATGCTGCGAAAAGAAAATTGTGTTCAGTGATTTTAGGGCCTAATATATCTTCAAAAAATATGACACATTTTTAAGCCTATGAAAACATTGTGGTTTTATCTAAAATAAAGATATGCTACTTTCTCCCCATCTAGATCATGAGCCTCTTGAAGAAAGGTATTGTGTCTTATACTTTATAGCACTTTCTTAGCACCAAACATATGGTAGATGCTCAATAATACATTTTTGATGGAAGTGGAAATTAGTATAATCTGAAGGGTGATTTGTCAATAATTATTGAAATTGCAAATGTAAAAATTCATCAATCTAGCAATTTCTCTTCTAAGACTTTAATCCAGGGATACATCTCAAGATATATGTGAAATGATTTAGTACACAATTATTCACTGCAGCATGGTGATATAACAGGAAAAATATCAGAACTATTAGAAGTAACTTAGATACTCAATAAATATTAATAAATTAGAAATAAGAGTTAACATCTCTACTACTTAACAGGTATGCATAATATTCTGGACAACTTATTCTTTTGATAGTCTTAGTGATTTCATGCTTTGGAACAAATGAGTCACTGATGGTGCTGAAGCAAATACATACTGTCTAAGTCAATAGTTAGCATTTTTTAATGAATTCATAAAATCATACTGTAATATCAGCTAACATTTATAGAATCTTTCATAGGTACCAGGTACCTATTTAGATCTTTTAATTCATATGAACTCACTTAATCCTCATAAGAGGACTATAATTGTCTCCACATTGAAGAGGAGGAAATTGGTGTTCAAATGAATTAAGAAATCTATGTGAGGTCGCCTAGAGCCAGAAATACAACTGAGGGCTACCTGACTTAAAGCTCATACTGTTTACCATTTTCCTGCAATTCCACAAAATTAAATATATGGTAGTGTCATCTCATCTAAGGATTCTCAAAGTATACAAGCATGGCCAACACCAGATAATGAGCCTTACTGACTTCTCTATCCCTCTTATATAGAGGTTCTACTCTGGTTCTACCAATGAGACCATAAGCATAGCCCACACACTCTAGCTCTTCTCCAACTCCTGTCATTTGCTCTCCTGTTTATTCTCCCTAGATTTCATATATCAATTTCCCTGCTCATCTGTTGAAATCCTGCTATTCATGGCCAGTCCTCTCTACAGTTTTCCTAGGTTC